TGGGCAGGCCCAGAGATTGGACTCGATGATCCTTGTGGTCCCTTCCAACTCGGCATATTCCATGATTCTGTGGTTCTTCCCAAACTGGCACCTGCCCTTGAGGAACCTGCTCAGGTCAGGGCTGGAAGAGGAAGAGCCACAGCTCCCAAACAAGACCTAATCCCACTCATCACAATCAGCCCTTCATGAACAAAGATGTTGCTCACCTCAGCCCTTAATGCCATCAGTGCAGTGTATTGTTTGATTTATTACGTGACTATAAACTCACACTTTTCACAAAGATTCCCATAACTCCAATCTCCAATGAGGAAGAAGGGGGAGGGATGTTGAGAAGGACACTGGGATGCATCCTCACCTCTCAGCCTCCTCCTCTCCCACCATCTCTGAAAATCTGTACGTTGGCTCATGAGCCTTGGGGACATTGTCCTTGCCCTGTGCTTGGGGGCACACGGTGAGTGGGCCCTGTTTGTCAAGGCATGTGCTGGGGAAAGAGGCTGTGGAGAGAGTTGTCACCATCCAGGGATGGCCTTTGAGGACGTGGCTCTGTGGAGGAAACAATGCCCAGGCTGGAGAACTTTAGGGTGGCAGAGAGAGCTGCTGGGCAGGCACAGGAGGGGCATGTGGCACTAAGAGTGGGGAAGGAGAGGGAGACCACCTTGGGAGTGTTTTGTACCTTCAAAGCCTCCTTTCAGGATCTCCCTAGGAACCAGGTGCTACTTTGCCTGATGTTATTGAAGTAAATGACATTTACTGCTGCTTTGTCTTTTCCTATCTCCTTATCACTTCCAGCTGTAGAGCATCCCCTTATCTGGGGGCATTTCAGGAAGCTGCGGTTCTATTTCTGATCAGCAGCATTTCCTGAAATGTTCTGCTATCTCAGACCGAGGAGCCTAGCTCTGACACTGCTCTGAAAACAATGAATTCACAGACCATCAAATGTCAAAGCTCCCAAAGCTGCAGCCTGTGGAGTCAGAGCACTTTTCCTAAAGGCCTTTGCACAACAGCTGGGCATTAAAAACCACAAAGTTACCCCAGACCTGCAACATCTACGTTTACTTTATACATAAATATTCTGAATATATAAATATATTTATTGATAAATATTCTGAATTTCACATTCAGAATGGAACTTTTTTTCCCAAAGATGATATATTTCTCTCCCATTTCTTATTCACTGTAAATTTTCTCAGAGAAAATAGGAGGAAACGCCCCCATTATTTCCATCCTCTTGCTCCAAAACTTAACACCAACCCATAACCACTTTGTGCCTTAATTGTGGTAGTTTTCCTTTTGTTCTAGTCATAAAAATTAGATGAGATTTCGGTGAGTCCCATCCTGTCCTTTTCTCTGCTGGGCAGCCCTGACTGTAATTCCCCTTTTCCAACATTTATTTTCTCCTGCTGCCAAAGGTCACCTTGGCATCTTCCAGTGTCAGTCACCTTTTCCCCTGATGCAAAGCCAACTTTCCACAGCATTCCCAGGGGCCCTGAAGTCTCTGGCCGTCCTTCCCCCTACCAGGACTGGGTTCTTGCCTCAAGGGCTGGCACTGACCCTCAGTATTTCTCGTGGGAGCTGCTCAGAAAGAAGTTCTCACCCCACAGCAGCCCAGCCCAGGAACTGCTGCCAGTCCTGCAGTTAGAAAGGAGAAGGTCTTCCAGGAAGGACATCTGGTCTGGAGATATCATTCAGTCTTCACTTCCCCCATTACCAAGGGCTTTTCACCACAAACTCTCCTTGTCTGAGCATTTATATCTCATCTGTTGGCATAAATTTAAAAAATTCAAGCAAGTCGGTACATCACATGCAGAGAAAACTTGTAGGGATTGTTCATGGTGTTGTAATTCCTAATTACATTATTATGAAAACCCCGGAAGAAGCTGCAAAGGAGGTTTGGGGCAACACTGCAGTCAGTGAGGCCAGAAAACTGTGTGGTCTGTCATGGAGGTGCTGGGGCAGACTCGGCCCTGAGCAGGAGAAAGAGGCCCCTGACCCCTGAGGAAAAGCAGAAGAGGAAAGGCAGTATCACACCACCAGCCCGGCCCTTCCTGCATCATCACACTGAGGAGGTGCTTTCCAGCCCCCTTTCACACGTGTTCAACAACCCTGAGAAAATCAGCACTGTTAAATCATTAAAGAGCCTCTTTAAAAATTCAGCAGCTGAGTTCACCTGCTTTTTAGAGCCATCTTTAAAGCAGCGTGGAAGTGGATTCCCACTCTCTAAACCTGGGCTTCAGTCCAGGTGTCACTGAGTGGAGCTGGGAGAAAGAGGAGACTCTGGAGCTCCAGCGTTGGGAGTACACACAGAGCCCACTCCACTGCAGTGTTCAGGGATGGATTTCACCTTCACACCTCTGTAGAGAAACCTTTAGCACTTAACCTTGCTCTGTTTCACCAAAGCTAAGCAAAAGTTGGATCTGTTGTTTTGAAAGCCAGCAAAAGTTGAAATATTGAGGCTTTCTTCACTTTCTTCTCTGAAAACACAGATCAGCAGTACCTGATCCCACACCACTCACAGATCCTCTTGTGCCTCTTGTCCCCTCACATCCTATGGGTCCCCAGGCCTTTGTCTTCCTCTGATACTCTCAGTCCCATTTATTTTCTGGTGCAAAACAGGGCTGAAGTGAACTGCCCAAGGTCACACAGTGAGATGGCAGAGATCACTGTCAGGGACGAAACTGGAGACCTAACGAGCTCAAGCCCAGCACATTTAGAGCAGATTGGGTTACGTTGCCCACGGGACTGCAGATAAACAGTGTGTTAATGGCCCTCTGCTACATTCACCTTTCAACACGATGCTGAGGTGACTCCCTGCTCCTCCTTCACTGCTTTTGCAGCTGTTAAAACAGATACTCGAATCTTGTTTTGGTTTATTTGTGAGGAACAGAGGTCCCCCAACCTGCAACCCACCCATAGTTAAGAACTGAATTTCTCTTTGCATAAGAAAAATACAAAATAAACCCATCACATCACTGATGGTTAACCCCCAAATCTTCCAGCTCAACATCTGACCCTGCTGATGCTCTTTAAATGCGTCTTTATGAGTTTATCACACGGGATGTGTTGAACATGCTTGGTTATTTCTGTTTACAGGGACTCTGCATTTTCTCACATGGATCATAAAATATTTGCCATTTTCCGTCTTATCATAGAGTCCCAGAATTGTTTGTGTTGGAAGGGACCTTAAAGCTCATCCAGTTCCACCCCCTGCCATGGGCAGGGACACCTTCCACTAGCCCAGGTTGCTCCAAGCCCCGTCCAACCTGGCCTTGGACACTTCCAGGGATGGGGAAACCACAGCTTCTCTGGGCAACCTGTGCCAGGGCCTCACCACCCTCACAGACAACAATTCCTTCCCAATATTCCATCTAACCCTTCTCTCTTTCAGTTTTAATCCATTCCCCCTTGTCCTGTCACTACATACTCTTGTGAAAAATCCCTCTGCATCTTTCCTGTAGGCTCCCTTCAGGTGCTGGGAGGCCACTCAGGATGATCTGATACCATGCAGGACTCATTTGTATCCCAAATACTCCTCCTCATTTCTGTGCAGTCACACCAGGACCCTCTGAGACAGATACTCTGAGACAAACACAGCACATTGTGACAGCAGCACATATCCACAGCCTTACAAGCAAGCTAAAATATTGCAAATGAATTCAGAATTCAGGTCCCTTGCAGTGCTAGACAGGCCCTGCGTAAATAAAACACATCCTGTTCAATGACGTGTTCTGTGACTTCTCCTCGCGTGCTGTTTGTTCCTTTAGCATTTCCCCTTTTGCCTCTCGGTAGCTCTGTGAGGAGACGTCAGCCTTGAGTTCTGCCTAATTCCACTTGCCTGCGAGTAAAGCATGACACAGGTTTGTTATTCTGGGTCACTGGAATCAGCATCACCTCCAGGAGCAGAGCGCTCAGCAGAGCTTAGCTCTGAGCATTGCTCTGCGAAGGTGGTGGTTGGGAACAACGCTATTAATAGAGAGCAGAAAGTTTTCTGTGCTCGAAGCAAAGGCAAAAGGAACATGATAAATTCAAAGAAAATATTGGAAACCAGATAAGAAATATGAAAGCTTTGGAAAGCACACAGTGCTTGATCCTCACTCCACACGAAGGTCTCCAGTGACTGATGGGAACATGGAGGATTTGTTTTCCAGAGAGCACAGAACCGTCAGGGCTTTTGAAAAGGTTCATTTCTTCCTGGCTCCTTTGCTGACAGGCAGCTCAGGAGACCCCAAAGGCAGCGGCCCTGGGGCAGCATCCTGTTGTTTTCACCCCTTGCTACATGCCAGCACCACCTGCATGGTGCTTGTCTCATCCAAGCCCTCACCCACTGGGATGCTTTGATACAAAGTCTTCTTTCTTGGGATGTTCAAATGCAGATCACTTGACTACGGAAGCAGCGTCAAGGATATTCTCTTTTGGACCATGTAACTGGTCCCTGCTGGGACAAGACTGGGCTGTGCCTTTCCAGCACTCAGGGAGGTGGAGTTCAATACTTGTATTTTGAGAAAATTCCATGATTCTCACAGTTAGTATTAAAACTTCTGTTCATTTCCACAAGATTTAAGTTCAGCCTGAACAGTTCTGTTTCCCTCATAACTCCTCCCTTTTCTACCAAGTGTCTCAAGTGCCATTGGGTGGACGGAATGACACAGCACAGCCCTGCTACTTCCCAAAAATCTTGTTGGTGCTGTTCCCTGCCAAGGGCAGCAGTGGCCAGAGACATCTCCCAGGATGAAGCTCCCGGCCAAATGCTTTTGAAGACACGCTGCCAGGAGCACATTGGGATCTGCCCCTGGGGAACTCGAGGTGTTTTTCCAGAGTCAGGGTACACCAAACTGGTGAGACTAGATTTTGCTCTGTGCACCTCTTACCTGTCTGTATAACACAGGGGGTGAGAACAAAGCCATAGGGCCAAACCTACAGGTAACACCAGTATTTACTATCATTCCATCGAAGCAGAGAGCACTGGGGAATGAGTTATTAAACATAAGCTATCCCAAGATGAATATTTTTTGAAAGTATCTTCTCCCCGGGAATATTCCTTGTGAGTGGTCCAAAGAATTATGTGTCCTTTTGAAAGAAGTCCTTTAAATTATATCCCAAGGCATGGATTCACAAGATTTATTTGCTTTAAGATATGAAATTAAGTTTAACCAACATTTCAGACTGGTTATTTATGGGATATATTCCATCACACACTTACTGGTTTAGCAGTGCAGTGATATCCCCAAGTGCAGTAGATACTGGTGAGGGTCATGATTTTTCCTAAGCCTTTAATTTAGGCTGTAAAGGATCCACATGCTTTGAACCCACACAAAGGAGATTTGAAGTAATCTTAACAAATTATTTGTAAAAGCCAGATTGCACCCCATTTCCCTGCAGCTTCTCAATGCATCTCACTAGGAGCTGTCAAAATCAGAGGGAGGAAAAATGGACTCAGGCTGTGTCTTTGTCTCAGAGACTCTGAACACAACCACTGCAATCACAGCCCAGAGAGCAAATGCCTTTGAGAAGTGTTTCCATTTTATTTTCCAGACCTTCTGTTCATCTCAGATCTGTGCCCCATTAACTGCCCTCTCACAGTACAGTCTTGCATCATGTGTATCTCATTTCTCAGTGACACCGTGGACCTTTACTGAGCTATGTTCACTATGTCCACTATGTCCCCTCTCACATTCCGGGGACGGTGTCCGTTGTCACTGGACCGTCCCGCTGGATATCTCTGCACTCTTGGTCCAACAACTGGCTGAGATGGTGCTTTCCTCTTCAAGCATTGCAGCTGGGATAAGCTATACAAAAAGAATAAAAAGAGCAGTACCTATCCCAAGACAGCTAGGACGCTACAGATTAAGCTGCTTTGATTACAGTCACTAAATAGACTTTGGTTTTCCATCTGAAATACCAAAAGGAGTCTGTTGGAGACCCCTGGGTCCCTCAGGGGAGTTCATGCTCCTCTTACTACCCAGAATACAAGCTCTAAAAGGCTGCCACTGAAATCCAGGCCCCTGGAGCCCCTTGAGAATACTTTTCCTATAAAGCTGCAGAACCGTGAGCAAATAGCCTTGTATGATAACTTGGAGGTAGACGCGCAGGGGAGGTCGCTGAAAAAGTCTTGGAGAGTGAGGAAGAGTTAGTCTCGTGTCAGGAAGCTTGTTCTCAGTCTGCTTTGCCTGGAGAGGTGCCCACGGGGTGTCCTTCCCATCTCCCAGCACAGCAGCACCTGTGGTGTGAGCACGATCAAGCCATGGGACATTTATGTCGACTTCTTCGGCAGCTCCGTTGGACTCGGTGGCTGTGGTTCATCACTCTTGGTCTGGCTCGCAGGAGGGGGCCACGTGGTCTTCTGATGGAGGTGGCTGAAGAGGAGAAATAGGGGTTAGGTGGGCTGGGAGGAGGACACAGAGGACAACGTGAAGACAGCACTGGTTACTTGGGAAAGAAGAGGAGGCCACAGATCTTGCCTGGCTAGTGGTCTGTGCTGGCCATCTGTCTTGTCTGAAAATGCTTTTTATAACCTTGAAATCGTGGTTTTCAAATGTCTGTTTTGTACCTAACTGAAGAACTGTGCTGGCAAGTCTTCAGTTTGAGCTAAGGTGATCAGCTCAGACAGTAGTAGGAGACATTTAGGTCTTGAAGTGCCCTTTCAGCAGATAAGTTTAGGATACAGCTCTGTTAAATATAAGCCGTTTAAGAGGTTTTAGGGAAATTTAAGGTTCAAATAAAACCATGTCATCCTGCTCTCCTTGGCCAGGGCTTGACAGCATCCTGATACCACAGCATAAAAGATGAACACATTCAGTGATGATTTTTCCCTTATGCATTATAAAAATGCCAGCTAGACAAGCCACAGAGCCACAAATCCCAATCTGGCCTGAAGGAATAACAACATTTTAGAAAACAAAAGAGAGATCCAGGAATTCACAGCATCCTTCACTGCACAGGGCAGGAAGTTTCTTGCTGTCTAGAAAGGGATGTATTTCTCTGACATGGCATCTGGAGGCCTCTATCTGATTAAAAGTTGTCAAGCAACAGTTTTGATTAAAAAAACCCAATAAACAAAACAGGAATTTTTAGTATGTGTGTTGTCAAAATTACAGACCAGGGTTCTGACACCTACTCCTTGTAATTTGGGATTCCTTCAGCAGGCAGGCACTGGTCCCTGTCCCATGGCAGAGCTGCAAATGGAAGCACACAGCCAAGTGTAAGCGAAGGGTTAGAAAACATGCCCAGTGTGCTGCTACATTATGATAATTCCCCTTTAAATGAGGCAGGAACTTGGAAAATGCTGACACACTCATATATCAGAGGTGCTCCTGAAAAGCTGCAATTATTTCCCTGAGACAAATCCAGTGCTGGGCCATGGCCATGGTGAGTTGGTGAAGAGCATCAAAGAGCAAAGACTGGGCACCTGTTTGGGGCTGTTTGCTCACCTGGTCATGACACAGAGGAAATCAGAAACTCATCTGGTGTGGAAGGAGACAAGTGAGGCCAAATAACTGTTGCCAAGAATTGTTTATGGCTCATGGACTAGCTCAGAGTCCCAGTCTAGGGAAGTTAATCCAGACTCCCATGGAGCTGGATGCCTTTTCTCTGATTTTCTCATCAGTGTGGCTGGTTTGTACGCCAAGGAAACGGGGAGCTGACTGTTCCCTCTGCTCAGCATCGCTGCAGCCAGACCTGGATGGCACAAGGAAGGGTTGGATCCCTAGTTCAGAGCTGTTGGAAAACTGGACGGGGTCCAGCAGTGGGAGCCCCAGGGCTCATAACCTGCAAGGAGAGGCTGGGGAGGGCTGAGGGAGCTGGGTGTGTCTAACCTGGCAAAGAGGAGGCCGAGAGGCCACAGCACTGCCTCTGCAGGTGCAGCGAGAAGGATGCTGGAGCCAAGCTGTTCTTGGCAGTGCAGACACTGTAACTCGGGGCAGTGGCCACATCCTGCCCTGGGGCAGTTCAGGCTGGGTGCTGGGAAAACCTTCCTCAGTGAAGGAACACATCATCCTGGAAGGCTGTGGATTAATATCCTGGGAGGCTGAACTAAAGCTGGCTAAAGCCACTGCTGATCCCATCTAGTGGGGTGCTCCTACCTGGGACAGAAGATTTGACTCCTGATCTCCCTTTCAACCAGCATTTCTGTGATTCTGTGGAACCACCCTCCTTCCTGATATTTTTTTTTTCACCTTCCTGTGGGCTTGAGCACAAGTGGCACCTTTGACTCCTTACCCTGCAAGTCTGCATTTCAGATTCCAAGATGAGTCACATGGATACAGGGAGGGCAATTCCATCTCTGTTTGCATGAGACAATCAGGTACATGTATGGGAGGTATGGCAAAAGTTGTGGAAGGTGGTACAAACCGTCCCTGACACTGACAGACATCCCTGAGACCTGCTTGGATTCAGGTTCCTCCAGTGAATTTAGTGCTTACCGTCCTTGCTGGAGAGGATTGGTGCTAACAGTTCTTTAGCTTCTGACAGCAAGAGGTCAACAAGATCTGAAGATGGAAGAGATGTGTCTGAGACTGCGTCTGTTTTATCCTCTTCTGTTGCATTGTTGACGCTTATAAATATGGAAAGTGCCATCAATACTTCTGTCATGGAAGGGTCATTGAAAATCCTGGCCAGCCTCTCGTGAGGGATGTGCTACATAAATTCTGGGTGTTCAGGGGGGATTGCATCTCAACCCCTCAGCAGCATGGGAGACTCTCTGTTAGACAGACTTGCACTGTTTTGTTACAGACAGATATCAAAGTATTCTTTAGAATTTCTCTAAAGTATTTTCCCCTCATTACATTAGAAATAACCATCCTGGACACTTAAAAACTGTTTTCCATCCTTTTTAAAACATGTTTTTTTTAAAGGGGCTGGTCATTATCCATGGGACAGTGAGCTTTCAATGATTTAATCAGTTAAAAACACACAGAGAGTTGTGATACATTTATTCCCACATGGTAGGACATAGGTTCAGGCTGGGGGGGGAGTCCAGGAGCCTGAGCTCTATTTCTGCAGCCATTCATGCAGCTGAGAGCCATGTGAAGCTCTTTGCTTACACTCATCTACTGTAACTGCTGATAAATAAGGATATATCCTCCTGGAGCCAAAACCTGGTTTATGTGTGGAAAAGCAGGTGGGTCAAAATTCTGAAACAACCTTCTTAAGGTCTCTGCTAACAGAGCAACTTAACCAGAACAGTGTTTCAGCAACTCACTCCCCCAAAAAGCCTGAACAGAGGCCAACCCCCCCCCCAGCACCAACCCACCAGCAACCCCCAGATCATCTTTCTCCCATAGTTTCACTTCCAAAGCATGTTTAGAAACTCTGGGTAGGTTACGTGTGAAGCACCTTCCCCTGAGAAAGGTCAGAAAAGGACATTTCATGTTGCTGTTCACCATTCCCAGGAGCCATCTCCTACCTTTTCTCATCTGGTAAATGACTGGGTGTGCTCAGGACCTTGTGAACGTTCTGCCATGCAACAAAAAAAAAAAAAAGAAAAAAAAAAAAAGAGAAAAAAAGAGATTTCAAACTTGTAGGACTGAATAATTCCTGAGAACAAACCCCATGGGTTTTTCCTGATGATCAGATTTAATATGACAGTAATCAGCTTCTGCTTATTCATTGCCCTTGAAGGGAATATCTCAAGGCCTTTTGCAGCTCAGGCAACATTCACAGTCTATGCAAATCCACAGACATCTGAATTCTGCATTTTAATGCCAGCGCTAAAATACATGAAATGCAACACAAAAATCCTCTTCCAAAGAACATTTTTGCAGGCTATATTTCAGCAAGCCTTGATCACTGCTGCCAGCAATCCCTGGATTCTGGGTTGTACCTGCACGTGTAAGCTCTCATTACATACATGGGTCATGACTTCCCAGACACTACTGAGGGGTGCATGAAAAAGGAAGATATTTTGTTCCAGTGCTCAAAATCCTGTGATGTTTGACCCTGGGGTCAAGTTAAATACATTTCCAAAGTCTGACCCCAAACTGCACAGGCTCCAGCACGTAGTGCTGCCAGTCTGGAGGCATTTTAATTCTTCCTTCTCTGGAGCAGAGAACACAGCATCTACATTTCCTTTTGCTCCACTGTCTCCTCTTGATTTGAAGAGCTCTTGGGACAGGCCACTAGAAGCCACAGCAGATACACTGAGTATTAGAGCCTCTCATACTGGCCAGTTTACTGATTACACACACTGGTATTCCCAATCCAGTGAGTGAAGTGGAAGAACAGCCAATTAAAAGACTAAACCAATTGTGTGTGGGATTTTTCAGGAAATCTGGGGTTGGGGGGGAAGCACTGGAAGAACAAAACCACTCTTCAGGTTTGTAGAAAAGCAACCAGCAGCTCTATCCAGGGAAGGTTTGCAGGGATGATTTCAACAGCAGAGCTCCTGGAACAGCCTCAACCAGAACATCCCGGTGGGGCTGGTGAGCCAGGGAGAGCAGAGCCACCAGCAAAACCTGCCCCACGGAGCTGACATCGCTCTTAGGGATGTGAAGATATATGAGTTCATCCCCTGGTTCCTCCCAGCCAACAGACAGTGTCTTTTTAGGGTGAGGTAGGGAAAAAAAACCCCTCTTGCTTATGGAGCAGGAAGTTCATTGGACTTGCAAAGTCCCCCTTAAGGTGGGAGGCTGCAGGATGGCACAGCACTGAGGTGGCTCCACACCTCACCTGCACAAACAGGAGCAGTTTCCTATTGCAGATCTCCAGGCGCTTCCGTGAGACTTCTGATTTCCGTAACTGGCCATCAGCCAGGGACAGCTGCCTCTTCAGCTCCAGCATGTCCTCCTGACACAGGGACACAGAAGGAAGAGAGAGGTGGTGGTGATGCTGCAGCCTTGGCTTTTGGAAGCACCAGTTTATGACATTTGCTACACTCAAAAGCAGTGTCCTTTGGGAAGGGACAATGAGAATGATGCAAATTATAACACGGACCCAGAGAGCACGTTGGCCCTGGGGTCACACACAGCAAATGATCTATGTGCTATTTCATTTTCTCCTGTATAAAAAGAAGGAGGGGAACCTTAGTTGTGGCTGCCCCGTCCCTGGAAGTGTTCAAGGCAAGGTCGGATGGGGGTCTGAGCAACCTGGTCTTGTGGAAGGTGTCCCTGCCCACGGCAGGGTGGAATGAGATGAGCTTCAAGGCCCCTTCCAGCCCGAACTATTCCATGATTCTCTGAACCCACAGAAGGGTCTGTAAGGTTGCGGGGCTTTCTCAGGCTGGGGAGTTGCATTACCTCTATTTCAGAGACGTGTTTTGCTTTCTTCCCTGCCAGCTGCATCTTCAGTTCTGCAATTTCAGCTTCCAGCAAGTGGATCACTTCCTCGTAGTCCTGCTCGGCGCTGTGAGCCTGTCTCTGCACCACCTCGGCCATCTGCAGCTTGTTGTGCAGTGTCCGGTTCTCGGAGAGGAACCCCAGAGCTTTCTGGAAGCAGTGAGAAGTTCTGGTGAACTCACCACATCCACCTCAGTTGACAGCCACCAAACTCATCCTAAGGGCTCCAGAAACCCCTTCACTAACCTGGTTCAGCCTCTGAAGCTCATCTTCCATTGACTTCTTGCTGTTCTCCACCTCTTTCAGGAGAGACTACAGCAAATATTTTCACTGGGTTAGGAGCAACAAGTGACAGGATGTTCTCTAGAAAATGCCCTGGTCTTGTAGCCCCTACCCACCAGAATAATATTTTACAGAGGGAGTTCTGTGCACTCTCCCCCCACAGAGAAAGCTTTTTTGGGCTGTGAGCTGCAGGTCTGCAGAAACCCCCTTGGACACAACCATGGTGCCGACAGCCTCACTGGGGATCTGCAGCCAAGAGAGGGTGGAAGCCCAGGTGGTTCCTTCTGTTTATCATGGACTTGAATGACTCATGAGGCACTTTTTGGTATTTTTAAAAATCTTAACTCTTCTAAGAAGGGACTGCAGACTTTGAGTACAAATAAGTTTTTGTTTGAAGTTGAGAGTGAGAAAGAGGCAATTAAGGAGAGCGGAGGGTGAGAGGCTCCTTTGTGACAAGGAATGCACAGAATGCAAACTGGCGACTCCTCAAGAGGAACAGGCCACACCATTACCCCCGTGGACAACCTCAACAGAAGGCCCCAGCCAGGAACTCTGCTCCACCTTTAGCCGTCGGACTTCGTGCCGCAGATCCGTCATCTCCAGCTGCAGCTGCTCCAGGTCCTCGTTGCCATTGCAGTTGAGAGAGTCAAAGGTCTGCAAGGAGAGGGACAGACTCATCACACATCCAATCCAAACCACTTCAAGAAGGAGTCAGCATTTTTATGCAAAAGATAAAAGTGCACATTAAATAATTCAACACCAGGGGTTTTTTTTCACCCCACAGGATTTCACTCTCTGATCCCTGTAATTGTTCAGTAGCTGTCTTACAGTGAATTTTCATTTTGGGAACCAAATGAAATTAGCTAATATTGATTAATTTTGGCTATTTTTCCTTCTGCATCACTGCCAGGCTGCTTCCTCATATTATCCCATAGATGTTATTATTTCCTTATTAAAAATGAGTAGTTTGAGGTCTTTTACAGAATTTCCTATAATCAAAATGATTAATGCATAGTTCTGCCCTCTCTTTATAACTCTAGGACAATCAGAAAATGGCAAATTAGCTTTTCCCATCTCAGAATTCCATGGATTTCACAAAGAGGACTCCATGCAGAAGAGCTTTGGACTGACTGACCGGGGAGTGAAAAGCTGATGTATCCAGCAAATTGGCCACTTCGTGCTGTGTGAAGAGCATGGAGTTGGAATCCAGACCAGCCTCATCCAGCTCCTCCTGCATCAGATCCCTGAGTGCTTGGAGAACATCTGTGAGAAACAAGCAGTTTTTACCAGGTTAAAAGAGAAAAGTGTTTTGTGTTAGGAGAAAATGCCGCTGATTTTGGGGCACCACTGATGCCAATCAGAGAGGGTTTGGAGAAGCCAAATAGTCCTCTCTAACACTCCTCAGCAATCCCATCAAGCTTAAATGAGTTGTTGGCAATCTTTATCAGACTCTTGTTTCTTATCCAATTGAAAAAACCTACTTTTAAAACCCCAAACCCCCAGATATTTTCAGAGGGGAATTTTCATGATTGTGGTTCTGGGAGTTTTAAAACTTTTAAGCCAAACCTACATTTCCCTGACCTGCACCTGCCTCCTGCTGCCATTTCTCATGTTGCTGATTTAAACAAAAAGTCAACTCAGTGAGTTCAGCACTTAGAAAAGGTGTTAAATTGACAAGTCTGAAAATCCAGATTAATTTTGCTTTCAGATGTGAAGGAAAGCAAGACAAGAGGGGCTGTGTGGGACAGATGGGAGCCATCAGGGAGGTGGCACCTGGATCCCAGAGCCTCCAGTCACAGAATCACAGAATCTTGGAATGGCTTGAGCTGGAAGGGACCTTAAAGCTCATCCCATTCCACTCCCTGCCATGGGCAGGGATACCTTCCACTAGCCCAGGTTGCTCCAAGTCCTGTCCAACCTGGCCTTGGACACTTCCAGGGATGGGGCAGCCACAGCTTCTCTGGGCAACCTGTGCCAGGGCCTCACCACCCTCACAGCCAACAATTTCTCCCCAATATCCCACCTAACCCTGCCCCCTGGCAGTGGGAAGCCATTCCCCCTTGTCCTGTCCCTCCATCCCTTGTCCCAAGTCCCTCTCCAGCTCTCCTGGAGCCCCTTTAGGCACTGGAAGGGGCTCTCAGGTCTCCGTGGAGCTTTTTCCTTCTCCAGGTGAGCCCCCCCCAACTCTCCCAGCCTGGCTCCAGAGCAGAGGGGCTCCAGCCCTTGGAGCATCTCCGTGCCCTCCTCTGGACTCTCTCCAGCAGCTCCACATCCTTGTGCTGTTGGTTCCCCCATATCTGGAGGCAGCTCTGCAAGGGGGTCTCACCTGAGGGGGCAGAGGGGCAGAATCCTCCCTCCCCTGCTGCCCACGCTGTGGGATCAGCCCAGGGCACGGGGGGTTTCTGGGTCCCAGCACACACAGCCAGGGCATGTCCAGCCCCTCACCCACCAGCACCTCTAGATCCTCCTCCCAAGGCTGCTCTCAATCAATTCTCTGCCCAGCCTGGATCTGTGGTCTGGATTGCCCTGACCCAGGTGCAGGAGCTTGCACTTGGCCTTGTTGAACCTCATGAAGTTTGCACAGGCCTCACGTGGTTCTGTGTCCCAGCCCTCACTCTGCACAAAAACATTGGTCCAAGTTGCCTTGTGTCTGTTCTGTCTGGTGGGGACAATGCTGATGGCTTTGGATTTTTACTAAGAACCTTCTGGGGAGCAGACTTTGTGGGTCAGACAAGCAGAGCTGGCTTTTATTTTCTGTGTGTCCTCTGGTCAGCTCCTGCTAGGAAAGCTGGGATTTTAAGTGAGCCCTTGCAGCAACTTTTATTTTAGTCTGATTTTACATCAGATAGAACAAGGGGAATGGCTTTAAACTGACAGAGAGTAGGTTTAGACTAGATGTTAAGAAGAAATTCTTCCCTGTGGGGGTGATGAGGACCTGGCACAGGTTGCCCAGAGAAGCTGTGGCTGCCCCATCCCTGGAAGTGTCCAAGGCCAGGTTGGACAGGGCTTGGAGCAACCTGGGCTAGTGGAAGGTGTCCCTGCCCACGGCAGGGAGTGGAATGAGATGAGCTTTAAGGTCTCTTCCAACCCAAACCACTCTGTGATTCTACCAAATGCCTTTTTTTGTGTTTGTGACTTTTCTTAACTGTTTTGAGGCTCCATCAGTGCCCAGGCAGGGTCTCACCTGCCGCCTCTCTCCTTTCTTATCTGCCAGCAAAGCTCCCCAAGCCCAGCCCAGGTCCCACTCACCTCCGTAGGCCACCGTCCCCTGCGAGTCCGTGGTCAGGCTCTGCCGCAACTGCCTCTTCTTCTCCTCGGTCACATCCAGGCCAAGATACCGCAGAACCTTGAGCAGAAACAAAGAGCCTTTAAAAAGAAAAATACTGGAAAGGCAACTCTTTGGAGTAAGCACTGGGAAGACACTTGGTGCCGGGTTTCTCCTGGAAGTGGCTCTCCAGGAAGCATCTCCCAAAGAAGCAGGCTTTGGTTGGGTTTCCAGTCTCTCCTTTCCTACATGTGTACAGAAATGTCTGTTCCTGAAGACAGGGACATGTTCACGTCCTTCCAAGAACATTCTCTACAGACTGCACTCAGATTTGCAGCTCTGATGAGCTGTCAGGGCTTTTATTCATAGCCAGTGGAGTTTAGCAAGGCTCATCTGGCCTCTCCTCTCCTTTCTCTTGCTGCCTGGGAATTGTGTTTAGGACCAGGAAGATAAAAGCTGTTCTCAGAGTATTTCCCATACTCTGAGAATGCTTTCAAACATTTTGCTTTTCCGCTTCATCTTTTGCTCTCTCATTACTCCTGATGCCCTGACTTCTACTGATACTTATCAGTTGAACCCCAGGGCACCACAGAGAGCAGATAAACCTGTGCAAGCCCCACTTCACTGCAGACAGCAGCGACTAAAAGCTTTTAAAGACGAAGTGGAGCTCAGCAGACTCTGGGAAAGAGCCCGAATGAAACCCTGGCCTGTCCCAGGCTGCACGCACAGCTCCTGCTCCCAGCTCCTCCCACGAGGCCCCCTGGGAAGGGGTGAGCGATGAATCCTTGCTCAGGTTTCCATCACGAGCGAGTCCCTGGGACCCGTCTGGTCTCTCATCCCTGCTCCTCTGCCCCCTGTGCAAGGCAGTGCTGCAGGCTCCCAGACCGGCTACCACACTTCGGGGTGCTGGGTGGCTTGGCCACCCCAAAAACACCTCAGGCTGTGCCTGTCGGTGTCACACCCCGGCCCTGTCACCGCTGCAGTGCCCGTGTGTAACACGGGCTTTCAAAAGGGGAAACCCGGCGTCCCACTCCTCCTACCCAGAGGAGCTGCTTTGTACCCACGACGGGCAGAGGTCGCTGCAAAATGCGGGCCTAAATCCCGTTTTAGGAGAATTAGGCAGGCTTAGAGGAGTTCTGCCCTCCCGGGAGGTGGGAGCAGCCGAGGGCGAGGTCTCGGCCGCCGTCAGGTGGCAGCAGATGTTCGTCACATCGGGGCCACCGCGGTGTCCCCTGGCCCTGCACGAGGGACCTGCACAAGGGACCTGCACAAGGGAGCTGCACTAGGGAGCTGCACGAGGGACCTGTACAAGGAACCTGCACAAAGGACCCTGCACTAGGGACCTGCACAAGGGACCTGCACAAGGAACCTGCACAAAGGACCCTGCACAAGGGACCCTGCACTAGGGACCCTGCACAAGGGAGCTGCAC